CAAAGAGTTCTATTTATACAGTGATCGCACCTGCGCTTCTCACTTCCTTAATTCCCGAGTGTTAATAAACAGTCAGTGAACTGAGTTTGGCGATGGCAGGGAGTTGAGTTCTTTTGATTTCCATTCAGAAAATGTGGCAGCCATAAAGTATGAATCTATTGGACGGCGAACGCAATTTGATTTCCATGAATGGAGTGCAATTCAACTTGTGTTGATTTTACGAGAATTGAATACCCTTCTCCTCCTCCACGCAGGCTAATTTTATAGCCAACTAATTTTTATGAACCGCCAAGACAGAGACTCAGTCCACGAGTTTCCCAGTCTCTGGCTGACCCTAATGAACTGACATGGGGCGACTTCCACAGCGACTCCAGTCCAGTATCGTGGTGCGGCGCTTGCTCATCCGCGGGGTGCCGGGATTGGATTTCCCCTCAAACCCCCCAAACCATCCAAGTCCCCGAGTTGCAATCTCAACCGAAAATATATGTTGCAATGCCCAGAGACTTGAAAACTTTATTGACTGGAAATAATTTATTAATTATTGTATGCGCCTGACTTGGGTTTCATTCAAGTCGCTGCGTGTGCACGTATATTTTCGAGAATATTATTTTCTAATTAAAGCTTTGAAGATTATTAATAATGGCTTTTCATTTGGGTGGCATTTTGAAGCTGATTGTGGGGCTTTGGTTTTGCAATAGCTAGAAAGACTGATTAGTGGCTTTAATAATTATCAATTGCTTACTCCAGTGGCAGCAAATGATGCGAAGTGTTAAATGACAAAATGAGATTTGATGTTAATGCATATTGATGGTGTTTATGAGAGGAAACGGTTTATGGTTATTTGTTTACTAACTGATATAGTCAGTTGATAAAGTAGTCATAATAATAGAAATAATTAAATTCTCAACATAAATTTTAACATACAGAGCTGTGTTTTATCCTAAAAGTCTTTTAGAGCCATTTGAGCCGAAGGTAAGCATCTAATCTAAGCAACATAAGGCCTTTCTAAATCTGCTACCCACACGAGGTGGCTAAAATGAAAACGTTGCATGCAGTATCCCCAAAAATAGGACGAAATTCCCTCTCGAACATATGGCTGGTTGGCAATAAATCTCAGCCTTTGTCTTGCCCAATTCCAGCTCGGAGCTGGGCTACATAGATTTGCACTCGAAAAGTTAGCGGCGCATGCGCGACGAAGAACATTTGTAAGAGCAATTAAAATCACACCACGACCAAAAAGGAGAAGCAGACGACGACATGGACGCTGGCGATAGCGAAACATGGCAACCAAGCAACTAGATATAGATACAACGTGGGACGACGAGGGGCTGCGGAGGGGCACACCAGAGACAGGCCTTCGATTGGAGCGAAAGTCTGGGCCATAAATAAGAAAATCAAAATGCCAAACTTCTGGCTTCCCCTTCGCGGCGAAAAGTGTTTTCGATAATGACCCGGTTACAGTTTGAAAGACTCTGTGGTGATTATTATACCATTTCAGAGAGTTAGTTAGTTGATTTTAATACAATCAGTAACGAAAAAAAAATCATGTTCTTTTCATATGTAGTTTTCTATGTGCTTGTTTGTGAAGGATTTTCTCAGTTTTGAAATTAAATTAAGTGTATTTCCGGTATGAGCAAAAGGCTCAAGTGAATATATTTTACAATGGTTTAAGAAGGTTTTGTCGCATCATTATTCATTATTCCCATTTTTAATTGCGGTATATAAATTAAAATAAAAAAAGATTTTAAATTTTTTCACTGGGAAATATAGCTTTTTTGCATTCTTTTACAAAAAAGATTCGCTACCAATTGTGTAAATAAAATTTGCAATATCATTACATCGTTTGCGATATCATCATAACATTTGCCTATCATCTCTTTTTTTTATTAAATACAAATATTGGGTATCACCTAGTCGAAATCCCTTGAGCTGTTTACCATTCAAAGTAATAAATTCCTATGTTGGTTGGTTTTGCATTGGCAATTGTAAACAAATTGTCATTCGACAATTACATTTGTGTTGGCCACATTCATTAGTGTCAATGTTTTTGGCTTTGCATGCTTCCGTTACCGTTACACAGACGATTTATGTCACATTTGTTTGGCCATGGTTGGAAGTTATTTGAAATTTATTGCCTCCGAGGATCGAATCCTCTTGCTCCATTTCGAATGATGCGTTGACAGACTGACGGATAAATGCAACAGCAGCCAGTGGTTGTTGCTCCATTTTGTCCATTTAGACGCTTCTTGATTACCTTGGACAGTCCGTCTGCCGTCTGTCCAACTAGTCGTGGCTCGACTTGTCTATAAAGATGCTTTTTTCATGGCAATTTTTCAGTCACATCGCTGTGCAGCTTGGTGAAAAAGATACTGTGCCACTTACAATTTTTTCTTTTCGGCGAGCATAATTTTGTAATTGTCCGGCCTAGTTGGCAACTGAGTCGTTTTACATTTGCACATGTGCTAATATTAACTTTCGTTGCAGACTGAATGAGATAAATATAGTCAAGAAAAGATTTACTACAAGATTTCATTACTTTTTCTTGAAATTTAAAAGGCTCACTTAACTTTTAAAGTAATTCACAATATATTTTTGCAGACTAAATAAGCAAATAATAATGAAGGCATTAAAAGGAGAAATATTCAGTTTTCAGACTAATTAAGATAAACGTATTATAAAGAGATTTTTAACATGACTTCATTACTTTTCCAGGAAGTATTTAGAGCTCAGCTCTAATTTTTCAAAGTCATTTTGATTATCCTCTTCAACTCCTTTTAAGGCACCGCCAATGCCAAAACAAAATTTGCTCTCAAATCGTATAACTTCATTTGGTTCGGATTGCTTCGACGCCCCCAACCACGAAAAGCGAATGACCAAACCCATCGAAACCACAACAAACGCAACCGCATCCACGAAATGCAATTAATTGTCAAGTTATTTAACACAAATATTTGAAATTGTTTCGCTAATCAGTTGGCTAAAACGGAAAAGGGGCAAAGTCAAAGTGGCCACGATTTTTGTTGGCCATTTTTTCGAGTTGGATTTTTTCGGGGTCCGCCTGAGAAGTCAGTCGGCGGCCCGAGCATTCCGATGTCCATAAAAATGTCAACGCAGCAACAACAGCAAATGCACAAGAGCCTCAGACTAATGAAAATATGCCGCTCGGCTGGAATTGCCAAAGTGGCTGGCTCGGCTTGGATTGGATTGGCTTGGCTTGGCTTGGGTTTGGTCTTAAAACTGGACACCAGCATGGCTCCATGCAGTCTGTGCCGGAGTCTGTGGTCAACACAAAAGTGTGTCTGCTTGTACACTCTGCTGCTGCTGCTGCTGCTGCTGCTTGGTGAGCGGCAAATGGAACTGATTACAAAATATGACCAGCGGCTAAATGTATCTCGCAGTTTGCTGCTTAATTTCTTAGATAGCTGCGCAATTTTATGCGTGGGTTATAAATTCCCAGCAAGCTCAAGTCCAAACGCACGTGCTACTGTTGGTTGCATGTGGCGTTTCTGTCTTGGCAAACGCCCAACTGCCTGTCCAAGACGGCATGCAAATGTGGAATTATTGTTAGGTGCGTTTGCTTAAAGTTTACTTAACAATAAACCCAAAGGTTTAAGGTTTATTCTTTTACTTCACCTTATAGGCGTCGAGTTTGGTTTTAGAATTGGAAACTTTTATTACCAGTACCTGTGAGTGTTTTACTCGTTGCCTGTCAACTTTAGACTTTGAATAACTTTGAAGAAAGCCCCTCAAAAAACTCTTTATTAACAAAGTAATACACTTTTGTCCTGAAATAAATCTGGCCGCAAAAAGTTGGCGCTTTAAGCGCTTTAAGAAAGTAATCCTCAATGTTGAAAAAGCTAATGTCAAGGGCAACTCTTGCTGCTTGCTTTTTATAAGATATTTCCCAAACATTTTTTAAGCAACATTTGTATGTAAGAAACCTTATTGTTTAGGTAATATAAGAGGTTGTATCTCTAGTCAATACAATACAACTTTGTACAACAATTTTCCCCATAAAAACAACTACTTTAAAGAAGCTTAAATATTCCTAAAAATAGATAGTTAAACCCAATGCTTGGCCAAAAAAAAACCCAGGAGCGAATCCTAAAAGCCATAAATACGTTGAATGACTTCGGACAGATGAAAACCGCAACAGTGGTGCAAAGTTAAAAAATTGTGTATAGCCAAAGGGGCAATTTATCCAAAAGCACGAAGAGATGACAGACAAACAATTAGAAAACTGAGAAACGAGATGAAAAACCGCAAAGAGTCTCGTTTACAAAAGTAAATATAAATAAAAAGAAAAGGCATTCAGGGTGTTATGCAATCCGAGTTCTTGTTCAAGTACAACTCAATAAACACACCAGGCCATCTTCTTGGCAGCCGCTTTTGGTTTTCATCACAAACCAAGAGGTTATTTGAGACGGGTTTTTGCCCATTGTCCAGTCTGTAAATGGTGTTAAAAAAGATAGAAAAACCAACTTCAAGGAGAACCGGATAACAAAAATATCCCATTACAATAGATTGTATGTAATGCATTTTGTATGATGAATGAGTTGAATTTGAAGCGCTGATGGCCTGAAGTAAAATTGTAATTTGGGGCCTAATGTTTGAGTTGTCTGAGGCAAGATAATTGATAATTAATAACTATAACAAAGAAGTGTCTAAAGATTATTTGTAATACCTCAAACGATCTTATATTTTAGTACCCTCACGGCCCCTAAAAACCAGATGCACATCCCACCCAGAACTTGACTGATTTGTGCATTAAGCGCTTTGAATTGGGGTCAATGAAGAGCATCAGAAACGCTTCACTTAGCGGCGCAAAGTAGAACACCAATTTAATTATGTTTTCCGAGTTATTGATGGACTACTACTCGGCCCACCTCTGCCACATCTGTTTTTCATAGGTGCACTCGATCTATCAGTGAGTGAACTCATTTCGAGGAATTTCTTTGTTCTTAGACGCTACGCTTTGAGCTGTAATCTGGGGTACTTACCCTCGCAGGCCACCGTGGAGTCGCCGCTGGGATCCTCGTTCTCTGCAACCAATTCCCAGTCGTCGTCATCGTCATCATCAGAGTTTGGACGCAAGTCAGCTAGGTCATCTAAGCGATTGACCACAGCATTCATGCCGAAGTAACCATCCTGGCACTCGTGGCACTTGGCTCCCATCACGCCCTCCTTGCAACGGCATTGTCCCGTGCGGGGATCACACCTGTCCGGGATTAGGGAGCCCAGGGGATCGCAACTGCAGGAGGGGCAGCGCAACTCCACGTTGGCGAAGCCCACATCGCACTCGTCGCACTTCTGTCCGGCGTATCGTGGTTTACACAGGCACTGGCCATCGGTGCTGTCGCAAAGCCCACTTTCCGATCCTTCCGGATGGCAGTGGCAGGGATCACAGCCGACGGCCGGATCGCCCCAGTAGCCCAGTTTGCAGCGCTCGCAGTGCCAGCCCTCGGTGTTGCCGCGACAGGTGATGCACTCGCCGGTGGTCACGTTGCAAGGTCCTCCGGCGCAGTCGCAGCGTTGGCAGCTGCTCCCCAGCTGGCGTGGATTCCCGAAGTAGCCATCGTCGCAAACCTGGCAATGATCACCAGTATATCCCTCCGGGCACTGTGTGCAAATGTATTCCGCGTGCTCGATGAGCTCAAACTGCGGGTTAAGGTCCATGTAATTATAGCTCTTCAGTTGGCAGCTGGGTGAGAAGTTGTTGGAGTCATCGGACAAGGGACAGGCGCACCGCTTGCAGTCGTGGGGCGTTCCCTGCAGGGGATTCCCGTAATAACCCAACTGGCAACGCTCGCAACTAAAAGAAAAGTATTTTTGAATATTAACAGATTTGTTTCTTCGATGAAGGGTGTGTGCCCTGGCTAGGCGTGGTGGGTTAGCAAAGACACAAACTATTGCATGGGTTTGTGACTTTAAAAACTGTGGATGGCATTGTGTGGAATGTAAATCTATTCAATTTTTGGGTTTGTGTCTAGACTACAATAAAGAATGGACAACAAATAATAGTTCTTTAATTGAAGATTATAGCTATCAAAAATGCAAATTTAAAATAAAATTACGTGAATTTAATCAATAGGAAATATGGATGCTTGCAAGTTATTTAATTATTTGAAAATTGCTGACTTGATTCAACAATTGTTTCAATAATTGTTTTTATATTTATTAAATAAAGTTAGTGGAATAGCTAGTATTAATATTGAAGCATGGTATTATAAATACTAATGTTGAAGATATTCAAAAATATTCCTACTCACCGATCTCCGAAGGTGTTGTGCATACAGTCGCCGCAATTTCCGCTCTGCAGATCACAGGAATTCGAGTGTCCGTTGCAGGGACAAGGGATGCACTTGCTCAAGACCTGGTGGTCCGAGGTGTTCTCGTAGATTCGCTTGTAGCCAAAGGCGCAGCCCTCGCAGGAGAGACCTGTATAGCCGGCTGGGCAGAGGCATTGCTCCACTTGGCTGGAGGACTTCCCGCCCAACTCCACGCCACCCGAATAGATAACAGCCCGCTCCAGCGAGGTTTCCACCTGGTCGGTGTGGAAGGCAGCTCTGATAAGGACAGCATCGAGTGAAACCAGAACAGAGAGGAATTGCGATCGAGTCACGGATTCGCCGTGATAGTCACCGCCCTCTGTGCGTCTGAGTCGCGTTTTTATATCCTTCACAGCAGGTGGCACATGATACCAGCCCTCTTCAGTGAGGGTTACGTTCAAGCTGATCCCCAATCCCTCCAGGGATTCATCGGCAAAGGCTATCTTCAGGCCGTTTTTCCCGAACAGGATGACATTGGGTCCCGTGGTGGGCTTTCCCGAGGTGTCGCCCCTCATCACCACCCACGACAAGAGCAGTTGCAGCCTCGCTCCATAGCTGGTCAAACGGTTTCCCAAGTAGCCCAATGGAGCCTGCCAATAGATGGCCTCCACTTCATCCAGTTCGTTTGCAAAGATCAATCGGTTCTCCTCGGCATCGACGGGTATTGAAATGGGTTTTACTCTCTGTATATCGGTTAACTTCCAATCGTTAAGGGTCTCGAAGGCCAAAGTCTGTAGCTTGGCACTGTGACAAGTTTGTGAGACACCCGAGCACCAGCAGCTGGTGCAACCCTCTCTATTCTCTTCGTTCAGATCATAATATCCCGGTGCGCACTCGGAGCAGGTCCTTCCATCCACATTGAGCTTGCATCGACATGTTCCCGAGCAGGATCCCTCGGAGGGCAGGCTTCCCCTTTCGTCGCACTCGCAACGCTTGCACTCGTCTCCATAGTAGCCCGGAGCACACTCCTCACAGTTTCTGCCCTGGAATCCCTCCAGGCAATCACAGCTTCCTCCATCCGGTTGGCAGTTTCCCGTGGAGCGGACAGGATTACAGGAGCAGGGCAGACAGGGATCGGTCAGTGGTGCATCCAGCTCCCTGTAGAAACCACTCTCGCAGAACTCGCACTCATTGCCGGCCGTGTGATTCGAGCAGCTCTGGCAGATGCCCTTGTCCAGGAAGGAGTCATAGGAGCAGCTCTCCGCATGACCATAGCACTGGCAGATTTCACACTCTCCTCCGTCCGATCGATAAGGCCGATCCTGGAAGAGCGGGCAGCACTGCTCGCACTGACCACCGCATGTATTGTGCTGGCAGATGCACTGCAGCAGGGGCTCTCCCGGCGAATCTTGGGAGCGATTTGCATGGCCATGGCAATCCAGGCGGGCACTGACTTTCAACTGGGACAGAGAGTAGAAGCTGTGCTTTTCTAGCGATTGGGAGTCCAGAAGCCAGTCCAAACTGTTGTCTAAATTGGCAGTGGAATGCATGCCCTGCAGACGAATCCTGATATACCGCGTCGTTATGAACTGCATTAGCTCTGGACTCTGGTCCGTGGCTCCGGGTCGATTCTTCAGCAGCGACGCATGCAACACGCCGTTCTCCAGAGGACCTGGCTTGGAAAACTGAGTGGAGCAGATGACCTCGGTGTCGTTCTGGAACAGGTATTTGCCATTCTGTCCGGACAGGCTCCATCGTCGCTGGCAGTCCGCATCGCTCAGGCCAAAGTACTGCCACGCCTCAAAGTTAATGCCATCCAGGGACTTTTCGAGGATCCAAGAGGCTGGTCGAGGCGAGTTGGCCGATTTTAACCACACGGAGAAGATTTGATAGGTCTGTAAAACGGAAAACGATAGATGTTGTTGAATTACTACAGATTATATTTTGGGTGTTAGATAAATTTGTGTTTAAATAAACATTAGCATGAACATTAATAATAATGGTAAAACTTTATATGAGATCAGTCTTTATTGCCAGATTTTTGTGTAAAACGGCATTTAAAAATCGTTTTTAAATGAATTAACCACTTGGCCTACAATATTATTAACTTCAGAAATAAGGAATGATGTTTAAAGCATAATTATGTTTAAGGATCTGAACTAGGCAGAATCCCGAATGACTTTAAGAGATTTCTTTATTGACTTTCTGGTCAACCACTTAATTAATTTATTTAAATTTCCGTGAGGTACGGATTTTCCCACCATAAAAATAACTGCCATCACACCTCAGCCGTTCGGTTTTATAGCCAATGGGCAAATGAGCAATAAATAATGTACGCACCCAAATGTCAGTGTTTCTGTCGCCAACTGATGTTTCTATCCAGTCGCAGGCATATATCTTTGCATCAGTGACTACCAACAAACTGCGTCCATATCTCCGCTAATGCCGCATGGTATTGGCAAAATCTTTTAACCCAACATTGCCATCGCCGCGTCATAAATTTACCGAACTGTCAACCAACCGCAGACGCAGGCCGACCCTCCAAAACTGCCGCCCAACTCTGTGGCTCTCTTTTAACGTGGCCGGCAGCAACAGCTGACAAACGATATTTTGGGAAATTGTTAAGAAAAAATGAAGAAAAAAAAAACCAAATATAAATGCCAAAAACGTCGCGTGTTCGAGACGCTGAAAATGTTGCGCCTATCGAAGATCAGTGGCCAAAAAAGCCACACAAAATCCAAGGCAGACCAAAATGAGAAATCAATAAAAGGCATGCAATTGAATTTTCCGACGGGCGACTTGTGGCGAAGGTGTGGCCAGGTGTATAATTGATTACGACGCATTGACTTAGAGCGGCCACATGGCGCCATCTAACCAGATATGTGACTAGTATTATTTCTTATATTTTTTCCTTCAACTTTTCGCTAGTCATCGCGAGGCCAAAGCAAATCCTCAGCTCAGAAAACGATATCTGAGAGCAATCGCTGTAGCGCCCACTCAAAAACAACTCTATCAAATTTCAAAGCCACTTGTTTACCCACAACTCACTAAGTAGCTAATGGCATCAGCAGCACACACATTTTCCACGATTTTCCAATGCTGATAAAATGCAAAAATACAAGAAGTCAAATGCCAGCGAGAGTGGAAAGAGGTGTGCGCCTGCGTGCGTTCTCCTTATTGAATGCCGACTGTATTCGATTACAGCAACAACAGTGTCAGTCAAGCCGATAAGATTAACAAAATAAATAAGTGAAAGAGACCGGCGAAAATAAGAAGAGAAATCAGAGTCTTATGTATCAATAGTAACAAGATTTAATTTTTGTAGTCTGGTTTCATAAAAATCCAGGGACTTTGGCTCTTTAACTTTATTTTTATGTTATGTGTTAACAAATAATTGTACATTAAGCGATTTCCTTAACAGAGTGGCACTGCCATCTTGGTCAATTAAAAAGCATGCCACTAATTGTTGGCTTTTCCATGCTTCTCCTCAGGATTTGTAAAATTTCAAGGACCGACATATGGGCAAACAAATCCTAATTGGGATGTGGCTCTAAGCGAAAGATTATATTCTCATTGAACATGTCGACAGTTGGGAAAAATAGGAATACAAAATACAGGAATCATGGAATTGTATAAATAGGGAGAGAAAAGTATTTTTCATTGCAGTCTTCGACTAAAACTTATATAGATCGGTTGTCCACAGATAAGCTTTATCTTCCTCGATTTGACCTTTTAGTAAGTATATGTTAATTCATTGTCTTTTTGATCCAATTACATAATAATTGCAGAACAAAAGTAATGGCAGAATTTCTACGGTTTTGTGGTAAGCCCCAAAATTATGGATATCCGAGTAATAATGCTATACAAAACGCCTTTTTGAAACAGAAACATGACACTTTTTGGGATCCTGCAATTCAGGATTGTCCAAGGGATATGTTTCATATTATACACCTGTGGCTAATCAATTTACAGGAATGGACCTGTCAGCTCAACGCAGTAATAGATTAAAATATCGTTAAAAATATCTAAAGATATTGTAGTAGCCAGCAGAACGAAAAATAACGTTCGCAATAATATCGAGACAAAGAAGAGCTCTATACGATTAACAAAATACTGAAAGAGGCATTCAAATTAAGTGCCTTCTGCCTAAATAAATATATGGTTCGAAGACTCTGAGTTTATTCGTCTACTCTATGTAGTGAAATTGATTATTGCTTGATTTTTTAGAAGCAGATTCGACCATATATTATAATCTTAATAAATAGTCACCCAAGAAAACTTCAAAATATACTATTAATCAACTTACAAAAAGTTAATGATGTTAACATCTTAAAAGACAAAATCCAGCCATCTTCCAATCATACTTTAGTAGTTCAGTTTACAGTTAATCGAATTGTTTGTTGGCGACCTTTGATGTATGTTTAATTTTTAGAGTTTTTCCGGCTCGAGGTCAACAATTGAAACATTTTTTTAAATAAAAGTTTTTAAATTTTATTTAAAAAAATTAAATTTAAAAACTTTTATTTAAAAAAAATTTTAATTGTTGACCTGGAGCCGGAAAAACTCAAAAAAAAAAGTTAATCAAATTATTTAATAAATTCGTTCACAGTCATAACAAATAACTTTGGAAGTATAATTTTTGAATAAGTAATTCAATTATGTAACAGTGCAACAATAAATTTAAGCCAGCATTCAGATTTTAAATTCCCATCTAAAAATGTCCGACCATTACTATGAAAATATATTTCGTGTGCTTTTTTAAAACAATTTAGAGCTGTTTAAGTGCAGGATTACAATATAAATAAAAAAAAAGTTCATATCAAGACGAAGTATGCTACCTTGGTCGAATTTCTCCAATACCGATTACTCGCTGAGGAGCCACTGAACTTGACACACACGAATTAAGGCGATAAGTTATCTCTAGTGAATTATGTTGTCCCCATCAAATTTCTGTCCAAAACCTTGATTGCAATCAGCTCAAGAGCAGCGCGGGCTTCTGAACCGATTTCCTGCTGCCCGTTGAGCAGAAACACGTTCCAGATAAAGGAGGCGAACTATGAAAAGGCCACGTCGTGGTCTCCTTCGGCTCCTTCCCTGTGGAGATGTGAAAATCGTTGTAGATTGCAATCGAAGAAGCGGCAGGTGAAGGCCTCGGGGGTAACACTTTGACGTTTTTATCAGTTTCGACCAATTGACGGCCACAACAGCAAACTTGTTTACAACGGACCGATGGAGATCACACTTAGTATAAATATTTGGTCAGTGGATTCTCCTCAGAGGGAGTGAGTTATTGTTTATGCATGGAAACCTGTTACCAGATACTTGTCAACTGATAAGGCCAAATCAAAGAGGGACTAACAAAATTGTTAAATTATTCAGTGGAAGTGTGGGGGGATATACCAATTTAGCGGGTCAATTTGAGTTGATGGACGAAATTGAGTGGTAAGAGGGAGCATTGCATGTCGTAAATTACACGAATTAACATTTATGGCAATCAAATATTTATCGCTCAATGAAGAAAATCCACCAGGCGAAGCCGACAGGAAACTTCCTCTGCGCCCAAGCACCCAAAAAACTAACACGGACGCTCAGTTAATTGCCAAAAACACACAAAACTGTGAAAACTCATGGCATCGTAAAAATTTTAAAAATAAACGAGCGAAAAATTGAAGTAGACAGAGTGAAGGAGCCAAAATAAAAGACAACAAATTTAGGGCTTGCCTATAAGTTTTATTTGGGCCTGTGCTAGACAGCATTTTATCTCGGCATATTTTTTGGCAAATTATACAGTTTGGTGGCCCATTGGAGGGAATAGAATCTGTTATTTTTTTTGTCAGTTTTTGGTTTGGCACGCTTTTAGATAACATGGTGAATGAACCCACATGGCAGACATGTTTCTCGTATATTTTTGCACATTTTCTTACTTTTCTCTATCGCTCACTCAGACTTTTCGACGTGTTTGCCGCTCGCACTGAAGTAATCGCAAAGTTTTGTGTCTGCTGCAAGTTTTTATCTCTGAAAATTGGCGCATTAATGCGGCTAAAGAATGAACAAAGTTTGGAATAACTTGTTTGGACTTCAAGAAATAAAACTGAGTTATACGAATTAAACAAGTAAGTAAGCAGATATGTATGTTGTGAGGCATATTGAATGTAAAGCTTAATGCTCTAAATGCAAATGGAATGTGGTTTTGAATAATTCCTTGGTTGCACCTCTAATATTTGAATGTCTTTAACGTCTGTTTTTTGCTAGCAATATGTAAGTTTTTATTAGTTTTTGCAGTCATAAACAAACTGATTTATGATAAATTAATGTTCCACTAAAAACATAATTAAGAATCTGTTTGTTTAACGAAATTGCTTTCGTATAACGAAAGCTCTTAAAAAGAGAATTTTAATACGTTATTATTTTCCTTTTCTTTCATCATTAACATATTTTCGTCCCTGACTTTTAAGCTCCCTGCACCGTTGGCCATTAAAAATAAAATCTGCTTCCTGGTAAATGACATGAAAACAATTCATGCGAAGCTTCAATCACGTTAAGACCCCGACCCAAAAAAAAAAAACAGACTTGCAGGAAATTCATGCAAATGCAAAACCAACTGATGCAGCAGCTTGAACTGAGGAAGCGTTCTTTAAAAGGCAAATTCAGGGAAAATGTCGAGAGAAAAAAAGCCAAAAATCACAGGCCAAACAAATAAATAAATTGACCATTAAAATAATTGCTGTGCCTAAAATGCGTCTCGTACGTGGCTTGTAACACGCTTTGCCCCTTGTTGTTGCATTTGTTTCTTTCGGCAGTCAGTTGTTGTTACTGTTGGCGCTGCGAATGTTGCAACAACTTGTCAAACATTTGAATTACAGTTACGAAACCAAGCGATGCCAAATGACCGGCCCCTCGAATTTCATTTATTTTTTTTTCGTTCTCCAAATTTGGCTAAATTTAATGAAGCAATTAAATGTCTGTATTGAAAACATTAAACATTTGAAATTGGAAATACACTTATTTGGAAGGCTGGTCAGATGTTTGCCGCCAATAATGAAAAAGCTTCAAAGCAAGGCAACCGATTTTGCTGTGACTTTAATATTGAACAACATTTCATTCTTTAAAGATACATTTTCTTGACAATTTCTTATAAATTATATATTCTAATCCATTTTTAATGCAAACAGACATCTTTTATATATATTACACAATTGGCTAACATAAAACAGTAACTTTTAAAGTTTTCTTTGTAAATTTTGCCAACTTGTTTTATTAAAAAAAGGGTAATAAAAAGAAAGGGTTCTTTGGAACCCTATTCTTAAAATAGGCATGTATGAGCTAAGCCATATTACAAAAAATTTCTGTTCTTCCTGGAAAATTTTTTAGAGAATTATCTTATGATTTATTATAAAAGAAATTGCTTTCCTTTTCCAAATAAAATTTATATTTCAGAACTGCAGTCACAGTTTTGGAGCCACTGGCCGGGTTGTTCGTAGAATTCTCGCTAGACTTTCAATTAGTCACGCGCGCCCCAAAGCCATTCAAGCATAAATCTAGACATTGTTGTACGAACAGACAGGCTGACAGACTGCTTACTGGCAAACTGACAGACTGGATGGCTGACTGCCTGGCTGACAAAGAGACATATGGACACATGGACGGACAATCTCGGGCTATGGTTCTGACCGGTCTGCGAGGACTGCCGGAGTCTGTCGCCTTTTTGCCTTGTTCCCAACCCAGAAAGAAATATTTTAAGCTGTCAAATCGTTGACACACGCCTGTCGTTTCTATCGTGTTTCTTCAACGGCTGACGCTGTTGTTGCTGTAAATCACATCGATTAGTCTAATTGTTAAAATCCACGCCGGGATGGAGAATCCGTCGAAGACTGGAAGTCCCAAAGATTTTGTCGCCCGTGAACAACAGCCAGACATCGCCATCGTCAATGTCAAGTTTCGTCTGAGGTCATAAATCGTGTTCTGTTTCGGTTGGCTTGACATTGGCCAACAAACAGAGGGAGATCTCTCTAATGTGTTTCTAAATAGTTGTGACAAATGCACAAGATATGTTCACAGCCAAATCACACAACACACTTAATTGTGGAGATAGCTAATTAGTGAACTTGTTAGGGGAGAATTTATTGTGTCGATGCTCATTGAATGGGACAGACAGCAGCTGTAAAAAGTGCTTGGGAAAATGTTAGAAGTAATGAGTAAAACAGTAAGGAATGTAAAAGTAATGAATGCATATAAATAAAATATTTATGTTTTTATTTAAATACTGTTTTTAAACTTTTTTTAAAAACTCACAGAAATAAAAACACTAAAAAAATCGAGAACAAGAAAATGATTTAAAAAAAAATCATGACAATCTCTGAATATTCTTTGTCACTCAAGCAATTCAACGCAATGAGAGCGTGTAAATTTTGACACATGCCCCTCATTTGACTTCGTTTTCTCGACATCCGCTGTTGTGTCCATATCTGGAAAATCATGGGAACCTATACATTTTATGGTCGTTGTCTGGCCAAAAATGTAGTTCATGCCACAATTGCATAAAAAAACGACTAAGCGGTTGACATATACAAAGAGTTAAGCAGATGCCGTAAAAGGTTTGCCATTTATATTTGGATTCTGTTTGGCAACTAGAAATAGGTATTGTCAGAATTAATTAAGTGAAGAGACCAATTTAAATACTTCTGAATAAAGTTCCCCCTTTGTATGGGCGACGTGCAGGAATTTATTAATAAACTCAGAGAGCAACGCATGGCTGTCATAAATCTTTCATACTTTAAGGCATATGCAAAAACAATGTTTTTAATTTTAAATCACTTCCAGTCTGTGGATATATTCCTCCTCCTTGGCTGCTTTTCGTTTTAATTAAGTGCACACTCAATGCCTTTGCCTTGGTCTTGGGCCAGCATCTTTGTGAGCCGGAATGGTCCGGTTCGGTACCATGGCATATGGCATTTGGCATAAGACAGTAAGGGAATTATATCAAAACATTGAAATATCTGCTGGAAGATTCGAGTGCAAGCCGCACTTGAAATGACAACTTTGTGTCGGCTGATGCTAAACAGATGATACACATTTTCCGTTTCATTTCTTCTCAGTTTTCAGCACATTATTGGCCAATAGGGTCGATTGTAAAAGTGTGGATCTGATTCTTGCAGGGCGAAACGTTGTGCTCGAGTGCACTTTGAAATTCCAATTAACACTATCGGCGAGCGATTAGCACCCAATCAAGATTTAAAGATCCGCGGCAAGTGTGAAATAAAATATGGTAACAGACGCCTTCTGGGAGGTCTATGCTATTTTAAATGGGATAAAAGCCTAAATTTGTGTTTAGAGTTAACCAAGAGAAAAATCTTGTAATTTCCTGCCGTAAAATCCCTAAGTAAATTCAAAATATTATTAAGTGCGATTTTTAAAAATGATCTCGTCTCTCCCCTCAAGGTTTATTTGAACAACCTTTACAAAAAACTTTCAGTAACAGACCTTTTTTAGAAATATACCCAAAGCGTAATATCTTTTTGTAGAATATGTGTCTTGCTATATTTGAATTATTTAAGCATCAAATCAAGTGAATAAGATATATTCCCCATCCAACACCGGAAATGAAAGTCGAATTAACTGATCAGGGAAAGTCGCCATGAAAATAACAGTATGTAAACCAATATGACTTAATCAAATATCCATCAAAACCAATTTATGTTTGCCATCCTGAGCATTAGAACTGAATAGGCTTCAAACGGGTTTCAGTTCCAGTCCGAACCCGCGAAGATCATATTTCAAAGTTCCAATGAGACAGAGCAAGGCATGTCCAACGATGGATCATGGAGCTGGCGTTAAATCGCTTGTAAATGAGTGACAACTCAGCGGCTTAATTACAAACTGGATCACAGCTCGTCTGTCACAAGAGCTTAGCCCCACGGATTTTGGATGGTTTAGATGACAGCCCTCACCAGAGCCCATTTGGAATAGGTTTGACTTACCTGCTTCAGATCCAACAAGATGGTCACATACTCAAACTGCCGGCCACCCTGGAGCGTTGGTGATTGCCACCAGCCTTCCTCAAATCCGGAGCCCGTTGAAACCAGCGACTGAATGGAGCGCTGCTTGGCCTGATCCGAGGAGTGGGCATTGCAGATTCCACACGGCTTGGCACCGACCTGTTTGCAGTACGTCTCGGCTCCATTCTGGCCACATGTCGCATTCACCGAGATCTCAGCCCGGGGAACCACATTGAAAAGCGGTGGATAAAGGCCTCCGGAGTTGCTAGATGAGTACAAGTCGTCCGTTTTAAGCAATCGAAGGGCTGAAAGTGGTGTAATATACAGACTTTAATATAAGGTTGAAATAGAAGTACTACGATACATTATTAATTTTACTTAACTTAAAATTTGAGAATTCGCATTGAAATGCAATGCTATTAATTTGGAATCTCCTTCTAACTTTTCTCAAATTTAATCAATAATATAGACAATTAATATGTATTGATTTCTTATGTAGTAACTCGTTTAAAACAAATAGTTGTACTTGGTAAAGTTATTAAACTCATTTTGTTAAATACTATTTTGAATAGTATGTATTTCTTTTGATATACAGATAGTTTTTAATTGTATACAAGGCAAAGTCAGTGATGCAAAGCATTCAGCATTGTTTGAACAGAAAAACATAGCTATAAAGTAATAAATCCAAACTCTAAGCGCTACGTATGTGAGCTGCTGTTGTACTCATCCTCCAGGTCGGACAGTTCATCGGCCATGTCCTTTGCTACTCTTGCTATCTTATCGTCATACTCGGCTTGCATGGCACTGCACAATTCCGACTTTTTCTTGATATCCTCGTCGATAGCGGGGAAATCGTAGAGAATATGGAATTCCTTGATGTCATGCACTAGCTTAATAAGGGACTCTCCCGCGCGAACCATATTGGCCGCCCGCACCTGCATTTCAAGAGCATCTTGTTCGCATTGCGTGGCCTTACAAATTTGATTGGGACTTTCGCGACTTGCCAGCTTCATGATTTCCTCAAAGTTCACCAGCATGTTGCGAACGTCGACTTTTAGCTGGTTTTTATAGGTCTTAAGCAGCGTCTCCTTCGATTGCGGGATCCTCGAACTGCTAGCCATGTTCCTCCTTTCTTTCAACGTAATATATTTAATTCTATAATTGGATCTTTTCAGATTTGGTTTAAGTACAGAACGACTAACAAATTCTGAAAAAATGCCGTTCAATCAATAATTTAATTTATAAATAGATTGTTAAAAACCTTAAAGATCCACCAACTAATCCTCGCTTAATATTTTACTCTTTTAAGCCTTGAATTCAACTGCAAATAAAATATATCAAAAATCGATTAATGGACTGAAGGAGTCACTTAACTTAACATTATAACAAACCGAAATCGTTTACTTTCAATCGTCTTCCCCCAATGTTCCTGCATGCCCTTAGCTTCATTATTCAAAATCTGACAGTTTTTCCCAGGCCAATCAATTAAATTGCTCAAACCGAAACAAGTCGAGAACAAGCCCTCAAGACAACATTGCCAATAAATCACCTACCAGGCAGCTGCTCTGGATTGCTCTGAACTTTGTGCCAGGAGAATTATTGATTGGTTGGCTTGCTGGCTGGTTTGCATGAAAAATGTACAAGTATCTCACGGTGCGCAGATAACCAAGCTGGGCAACTTTCGAGATAAACTTTATCGCTGACTGACCAACAGCAGCCTGCAGTTTAAGTTGTAGTTGGGGCGCAGATGTTGACCTGGTATGCCATTTGCATGTTCTGGTAGCTCCAAATTGCAGTCTGCTGCTGTTTGCAGTTGTTTCCTTTTGACCAGCTTTTTTGGCAATTGTCAACACAAAACTTTGGCGAACCAGACAAAAATGTTGACGTAATTGCAGGAAAATGGCATATAAGTTATAGGAAAGGATCAACAGCAAACTTTTGGTCGAATGAGAAAAGTTTAGCCTGGAATCTTGAATTTAAAGTTTCAATGGGTTAAGTGGGGAATGAAAAAGCAATGAATTTGGTTTAAAAACTTTTTAAAGATAAATAGACAATGTTGAGACAAAGCAATTGGTTCAATAAGTTTTGTACAATTGGTTTATATAGTTTTGTAAGTTATTCAAATTCAAAGTTCTCAATCTTTAGAGTGTTTAAAAGTGCCTCTTCTTAATTTTAAAGCTACTATTTCTTGCTAGTCTATAGACGTTTTTATAATGCACATATAAATATTTTTATTTTTTGTGGCGCATTCAATTTGTCAAATCATTTAATCAGCAATACTTTTCTCACTTAAGCTGTCAGCGCTGTAAAACGTGAATACTTTTGAGTGGGGTTTGGAGTATCAGAGGGGCGGATCGGGAGCCAAGAGGCCTAGACATAACTCCGAAAATGTTTTGGGTGCCGGGCAGCTGTTGAAAAGGCCACCTCCAGCCCCAAGTCTCCAGTTATTTAACTTCTCTTTTATTTTTTCTGCTTTTCGCTACCGCAAATTTGTCATTTGTCAAAACATTTAAATGCCATTTGCCGGTTTCCTTTTGAGTTGGGCGATTTTGACAGCTGTCGATAAGTTTTTCTTTCACGCTTTTAACACTTTATGCTTGAACTTTGCCCAGAGCAGTGTTTCTTGTTATTCGCTTTGACTTGAAGACATTTGTTGGCATCGCTTTAAATCAATTTTTTAGGTAAGCCTAGTTTTCTCATTTCTTAGCTTTAAAGTGAAAGTGATACTCTCGCAACTATATTTCAGATTATTATTGGATGGCATGTCTGGTGTCAATTATTGATGACTGAGGAATTAGTTTCTTGAAAATACTTTTGTGTAAGTAAGACAAAATTTGTTTTTATTTGTTAAAATTAATTGGTTAGCTAAAATCAAGTCTGAAATTTGTGACCTTTTCATTCAAGTAACATAATTGATTACTATTTTTAGTATTTTACTGTGTGTTTGTAAAAGTGTGATACATTTTTTATTATATTTATCTTCTTTTTTTCTTCATCAATACATTTTGATTGCTTTCTTTTAAAATGTATTTAAATTTTCCATTAACTTTAAGAGCTCCTCCACACTTTGTCGTTATATGGCCATTATCTTTGGCTCTCAACTCTTTTTTCATTGTCGCCATCTTTGTAATTGAGCCGTTTGCCAAAAGGCAGTCCTCAAAGAGGACTCCATCTCGGGTGAAGCCTATTTATGGCCACAATTTTGATTACTTTCCCGACCATCCATCGAACTGCCTTCGCCACTTCATTCGCCTTTTCGTTAGCAGGCTGTCAAAAGGCATAAAGTTCCTTTTTGGGTTTACTCTTTATAAAATTTTATATGAATTTTTCAGCTACCGAAATTCATTATTTATATGCATGTTGAAGGCAATTTGATTATGCAAAGCAGTCGCCAGAATTGATTGGACATGAGAATTTGGCTCTGACAGGAAGCACTCCAAGCACTGCTGACTAACTGGAGATTACCTTAACTATCTACCGCAGCAATTGGCCAAGTTCCATTGCCATCTTTGAAGTTGCATTGCAACGACTTAATAAGCAGCTGGAAAATGGAGGAGCGCTGCTGCCTCGTTCTCTGTAATTTTTGCCTCCAGCTGTCTGTTTGTGTGCATAATTGGCCAGAAGGAAAACAAGAATGGCAATGGATGTGCCCCGTGGGGCAGCAGATAGCCAAATCCCCTGCAGCCTGGCCAAAAATAGAGGAAACATTTCTGTACCGTGTGCGCCATGTCGATATGAATGAAATGCAGAACAGTGAAATGCTTTCAGACTCCAGAAGCACGTGCATCGCAGAGTTCCCCTGAAACTTCATTACCTATTACCTTTAATAGAATTCAATTAATGAGGATTGAACTGGTGCAGTTTTAACTTCACTTGGTTTGTGCACTTTTGGCTATTTGATTTTAATTACGCACTTTTACGGAATAAGCTTGTCAGGAGAACACGTGTCCAACAACAGGGATGGCAAACAATAGTGATTAATCGATATCATATCGATATTTAGAGATAATGGCAAATATACACGAAAATATTTGAAAAAAACGATATTCGCGTATAGCATCGTTATTCGCCCTGATTTTAAATAAACAAATGAAATTATCTCTCGTTAGGAGGTATACAAGTCTAAGCCTTAGTGTTTTGTATTATATTATAAAAAAGACAGTGAAAAAATATTAGTTTAGATCGATAGAGGAATAGTAAACTAATTGGAATTGAATATGACAGTTTCCTTTATTTTAAGTATTAATAAAGAGTTGATTGATAAAGTTTATTACTTAGTTTATTACTTAGTTTTATTACTTAGTTTTCGTGGGGTATCAAATACGATAGATACATTATTTCTGTTCAAATTATTTTGATTCTTTGGAGCTAGTTGTAAACTTCAGATTTTAGGTCACTATCCACTTAAAATCAAGCCTTATTTTATTGTAAAATAAATCCTAAAGTGTTATTCACACAGACTAATAATTTGTTAATAAACTTACATATCTCAAAAAAGATAAGAATATTAAAGGTATCCCCTTTTAAACACCATTCCCCCCTAATTGCATCACCCACACATTTCGCGTATGTTGTTGTGAGTCATCCAAACAACAACGAACGACCATTGAGTGGCAGCTACCAGTCTTCAATACCAAATCAAGCATTACTTGCATAACCCAGCGGAGTCATCGACCACATTGTCCCATGATGAACATCATCATCGCGATCGGCTCGTCGGGCAGACCGAGCATGGATAAATATTTTTCTAAAACACAACTCGAACACAAAGGCCCGGACAGACGGAGATGGGGATCCGAGAACTCGGCCTGGACGGGATGCCTCTTGAAGACGTCAGGAAAAAGCCGGTAGCCAAAAGCCGGCAACTGGAGAAAGAGTTGCTGAGCTGGACAGCAGAGCATGTGTTCTTCTCACCATCGGTCATCAGCTTTTGAAGCACCCACTGACGGGACCCAACAAGAACTCGGCATCCGTCTGGCACCCAAGTTATCCAACCAACCAACCAGCCAACCAACCAACGATCCATCCATCCGTGAGTCCATCCACTTGGCGGCAGCTCCAATCCCAACCCGTTCGGTTCCCACTGTTTCCCGGCTTTTAACGCTGCGCTGCACTGATGCATGACCAAACATCTTCAGTTCTGGTCAGTTTGATGCCCCTGCTGCTCCACCTCCACCTCCGCCTCCATTTTATTTCTTTTCTTGGAAATCTGTTGACGCAACCCCCTGTCCATCTTGGTCGTGTCCGTTGTCGACTTGTTTGTCAGTTGGTTTGTTAGTCAGTCTTGTTTATTTTCAATAAATATTTGACATTTGTCTATGCATTTTTCCCGAACCTCGGAGGACAAGTCAAGCGTTTGGCTGCCAACACCGACCGGGTACATTAATTTTTCAAGTGCCTCAAAACCAGTACCGCCCTTCTCCGCCCTTCTAAAGATACGATACGTTCTTAAGCCCGCCCATCCAGTGTCGTAAAAGTTTGACTGCAATTGTCACCTGCCTGCCACACCAGGTGAAAAGTTCTAAGGCCCTGCAGTTCCATTCCCCTTTCAACTCTGCGGATGTTTGATTTAAACTTTGGTTGCGAAAGGAAAGGAAATTGTTTACCGAAAACGTTGTGTGTGTGAAAATTCCCCATGTAGTGTTGAATTTGCCACATTCAGATTTGATCTAATTTTTAAATATATATCCAAGAACAGTCCACACTCGGCAGAGTGAACTAATCAACTCTAAACAAGCTTTAGTATAAATATTTAACGTTTCATGATTTACATTCATACGTAAGTTGATAATTATTATTATTATTATTAATATTATTATTATATTATTTCGCTCTTTTTGAAATTTTATACAATTTTTCAAAGCCCAAAAAAGCAAACAATTTAAAATATAATTTCTTGCAAATACTGTCTGGTCTTCAACAAATGTATACCATTTCTGTTACCGAATGCCAGTTATTGCTTCAACTTTTTAGTTAACTTAAAATATTAGTTGTTAAGTTAGAGGTTTTAATAATATTTGTATAACATCTTATTAAGCATTTTATACAAAATGTTTCATTGCCGAACAAGATACTGACATCGAGGAATTTCCGGAAAGCCATTAAGCTGTTGGCTCTTAATTAAGCGACTTGTTTAGGCCAAGTGCCAAAAAGGCTGGCTACTTTTATCTAATCGGGAATCAGAATTGTGTAAGCTACCTGCAAAATATTTTCGTGTAGTGGTTCACTTAATAATTTAATAAGTCCCACGAAATCATGAACCCACCTTTTGGTGCACTTGTGCTGAGATAATTATCACGATTTATGAGTCGAAAAGCTCTTATCGGCCACTTGCAATCATCGCACGAAAAGCGCATAAAAGGCGTCGAAAGGCCCATTTAACCATTAGCCAAAAAGCATTGCGGCCATTAGATGGGAAAGGTGGACAAATGGCCCCACCGTCTGTTTGCCAATCACTCGAAATGCATTTTCAGCTTCGGTTCGAGTCAATGTTTGCCCCACGTCTGTTAACCAACACTGCTCCGAATGCTGCACATGCGCAGACGAGATCTCATCGGTTTGGTTTTGGGGTTTTTGGGGTTTCAGGGGTCTCCTCTAATATCGCACTCATTAGTTACGCCTGAGTGGGCCTTGGGTGAGCTTTGTGATATCCGATATCTGGTAAAGCCCCTCGAAACGACACGAGTCGCCCACACTTCTCCTTCGGGCCGTTTTTTTTTGGAATCACTTTCAGATTTTATTTGTGCACTGTTAATTTGTCATTAGCTGTCAGATTTTATTAATATCTTACTTTGTTTTTATTTTTTCTGCGTCCCAGCGATGGCGCGAGTCGCATAATAAGTAATGTCATAATTAAATTTAAAGGTCTGAGTCATCTCTTCCACAATTGGAGAGGAACTGACAAGTTGTGTCGCCGACAGTGTCGTCTGTCTAGACAGACTGAGATTATGTCTGCCATAGGACTGAAGGAAAGCAAATGCAGAAAATGGGAAACTACAGGAAGTCCAAATGGAGTTGTGGAATTCTCTGGGTGCACAAAAAAGGAAACAAAAAGATATCACATAAGTATGAATGCAAAAATGACATCAGATTATTATAATAGTCATTTGCTTTTAAGTGGTTTGCATATCTTTTTTAAAGGTTAAGCACTTTTGAAAGATTTGAAATGTTGCAAATATTGTTTATCTTACGTTTAAATTTTTTTGTAAAATTAAATGTTTTTCTTTTTCTACAGATTTCGTTTTCTTAATTATTAGTAATGGAATTATTGACAGGCTTGAATGTCCTTTAAACGATTTCATTCGACAAGCCATATCTGCGTTATGAGCATTTTTTATGACGTGTTGTCTATTAAAACTACCTAACCGGCAGTTAAATCAAACATTAACTGGGTCGTCCGGTCATCCGCAGGCCTCGAGTGCTGTTAATTCGAAATGGCAGCCATTAATGGCACACGCTGTACGCGATCGGCAATAAACAAATCATTTACCCGCAAGAGAGCTGTCCCATTCGGGTTTTATAATAAAAAAAAAAACTTTGTTCCGCCCCGAATCGATGTTTTGGACAAACTTCAATAAATCTCTGGCGGAGTTTTGGCGGCGACCAAACCGGGCGGCTGCCAACCTTCCTGGCAATCAGAGTTGACTTGTAAACTATTTAATTAGCACATGGTCCGTAAGCGTGTTAGTTTTGGTTGTAAAAAGGCGCCGACCAAGTCATGGGGAAGTCAACCCACGATCGCGCCGCAGGCGCCATTTGAACCATTTGATGGCGCCGCCGTCGTTTTGGCCACCGACTAAAGTTGGCCAATTGTTAACCCCCACAAAACCCCCTTCGTTGCTTTCCATTCGAGGAGCTGAAGTTAATTGTTCGTATATTAAAGAAATTGCATTAATTTTGCTTGTTTACGTTGCATGTCGCCTGACGCCGTTGATGATTTGGATCTCTCATTTTGCCTACAAATTTTTATCGCCTTGTCGCTGCCTTACTCATCTAACCAGTTTCGACTCAGTTTTTCCTCTGTCCAGGCTTGTGTTGTTATTGCCATTTGATAAGCCTTTATCCTGTCGCGTCTGCGTCACAAAAAATGTTGCCATTTGAGTGGCAATTAACGATTTTATTGAACAAGCTGTGGTGGAATTAGCTCCTAAGATGAATGCGAAAATGCTTGAGAAATTTAAAAGCCAAATTGAGTGGAGTAACTGTTAAGCCAATGCGACGTTGATTATTAAACTAACAATTTTGGTTAAGCAAATGGCAAATTCAAAATGGTTACGTTTGCAAGATTAAGAAAACTTTGAAGGAGATAAAAGAAAATGTATAGGAAATAAAAGTCTTGATGACAGAATAAGTGAAATAAGCTTGAACCATTAGTTTTATGGAATAAAGTGTAGTTGTCTAAAAAGTAAATTATTTTGGAATTTTATGAAGCTTATAAAAAATTAACCACTTATTTTAAAGCAAATAAATGCATTCAACTGATTGATTTGCGGTTTTATTCCATTGTTTACCTCACACACATAAAGTTCTCGTTAAAAATTAGCAAACGAATAATTAACAAACAACAATTTGGCAAGCAACTTAAAAAGCTCATTAATATTATTTCAAGGATGCCAAAAAACCGCAATACAATTATAACATACCGAATGCAGTTAAAATAATTTTAGCGTTAAATAAAACAGAGCAAAAGGTAAACTCGAAATTTTTCATTAAAGAAATGCCAATAACTGGTTTCGGCAACAAATAGCCTTCGAGTCGCATTAATTAAGCAATTTGTCAGGCGTCGTGTCGCGACGAGTCGGTCGACTTTTCTGATCCCAATCCCCAAAAGGCTCGAATATCTCAACTGAATCGGATCGGATTCTCCTGGCCACTTTGCATGCAATGCGTCAATTTCTCATTGATTGGTCTTGGCCAGCGCTATTTAGAACACTAATCAATGGCAATGCCAAAATGTTTCAATTCTTTCGAGCTGTCAGAGGCTGTAAGCCAGAAAGACAAGCCGCCAACGGCAGTCGAC